GGCTTTCCTGCTTCATATGAACAAAGTTAAATATCATCTCAGTTACAAGATGTAAAGTAGTGAAAGAAACTGAGCTCATTTTATTTAAATATGGATTTATTTAAATAAAAGATTAATTCTGATACAAACCAGCAGTTTGGAAGTGCTATGTTCTTTTCATTCACACAGATCACAGCAGATGAGTTCAGGACAGTTATTAACTATTAGCCTAATTAATGTTATATATGTCTGTAAGATGCTGCTATGGTTGCAGAGAGAACTATCATACACTTCCTAAATGTACCTTATATCCACGCCAGCTATAAACCATGGTGGCTCAGCATTTCCAGGGGCATGGGCTATATTGGAAGGGTTCAAAGTCAAATTGGACAGAACTTTGAGCAACCTGATCTAGTTGAAAGATGTCCCTGCCCATGGCAGGAGGGTTGGACTAAATGATCTTCAAAAGTCCCTTCTGACTCAAATAATTCTGTAATTCTAAGATATCTCATTGTGGACAAGTGGGAGCAGCAGTTCCCAATTCTACTTCTTCAGATATGTAGAAATGCATCAGACAATGTATTTGCATCCCATCAGGTATAGGATATACAGTAGTGGCAGCTTCTTGGAGGACCACAAAACAGCGCATTGGAAGAATAGTTTCTTTGAAATTCTTTTCTAACACTGGTTGGATTATTCCTGCAGCAGTACCCTGATGCATTATACAGCACTGTCTGTCCCTGCTTTATTCTGGTACTGATCACGCTGTTCTGTCACTTCTAATCAAGGAAAGGTGAGGAAGCAGAATGAAACACACTATAAAGAAAACACATAGCAGGGCAAGAACAAGGGCATAAATTGATACTAATATCTTTAGAACAGGTATATAACTTTGAAAATGTAGAAGAAGATGCTGTAGACAAAGATATAGAGAGAACAAAGATAAGGAGAAAGCTCCCTATTTCTGCTTAAAACAAATACATGTTACAAATCCAAATATAAAAATAACAGATGCCAAAATCCTTGCTCTCAGGCATTCGCCACACTAAATCAAACACTGGTATGCATTTTTGGGGATTCGAATATATCTATTATTTCTGACTCACCCAGTCATTTTAGTTTTTATGAGGAATGGGCTTTTTCAAGGGAAGTTTGCTCAAAAAAGAAATTGGGAACAGCTCTTTGAATATCAGCAGAAATACAAAATCTTATTTCTAAAACCCAAGTTACAAAAGCTGGGAAAACAAGTTTTTTTTTTAAAAAAATGTTGATAAAACTGGGCCTTAATGCTGAAATTTGTATAAACAATGCAGATTCCTTAAAAAGACCTATATTTGCCATCTTTACCCATGTTAGATTGTACCTATTTTTTTTCTTTTCAAGTCGGTCTACAGAGAAAATGGAGTTGGACAGAGAGACATTAATTTGGTCCCAACAAACCTTCTCAGAAGCAGAAAGGTTTTGCCATCTCTTGATGATTTCAGGAGAATCCCAAAAGAACTGATAGGTTGCTACTAGCCCCGATTTCAAAACGTACATAAAAAGAGAAGGGAGGCTCATGGAGAACAAGATGAATAAGAAAAATATTTGAAATGGAAAGCTGCAAAACTGCATTTCAGCTAAACAGATAAAGTAACTGCAGTTATCAATAAGGAGGGGCATGCTGTGCTGAAGATGCTGCACCACTGGCCACGGACTCTACCATTCATGTTAATTTAGAAAACACGTTTCAGACTGCACATAATGAATGACCCTTCTGTGTATGAAGTTTTGTCAGGATCTGTTTGAAGCTGACTGAATAGCCTGGGGGACTTGTAGATTTACAAAATATTTCTGCTGATATGGGCAGATCAGTCAGGAGTACATTCAAGGGTTCTCCCTAACTTCCAGAGCTGACCCAACAGAGGCCTCTACTCAAGGTGTAGTTGAAAAGGCAAAACTACAAGTCTCAGTAGAGTCACTTCTGTTATAGAAAGTTCTAGCCTTTGCTAGAATGACTACTTCCCCATAGAAACATCTTCCCATTACAATATGCCATAGGATTTCCTACATCACTAGGCAGGTCCAACTTAGGATTCAGTGTTCCCCCAGTGCTGGTGAATAATGTTACATTAGCCTGATTGCCTGTAATCATGTTCTAACAATGCAAAACTGGAATAAAATAATGAAGAATCAGGTCCTGTATTTTACAGAAATGCTAGTTTAAAGCATCTTAAGGTAATGCTTCATTAGAATCATATAAAACATATATTTTTCTTCGATAACATTGCAAACCCCAGGGAAAGCTTTTCTTTCCACCTTCTTTCCATCTTTTCCACCATGCTGGTGACCCAATGTTTTTGCTCTGTCAGTACTTCAGCAGTGTGCACAATATTTCATTTTAAATACTGCCTAAAAAATGCAGTTAAGCATGTTACTCTGAAAGATCTTACTTAATAAAAGAAGTTATTTGCATAAGGTATTCTTACAATTAATAAAGGTGAAAGTCACACTGAGAGTGAATCCTTGCAATTTTACACAAAGTATCAAATGTTTCTGGTTGTGTACTGAAATATATGGAGCACTCCCTAGCCTCCAACGAAACCTCCCCTCTATTTGTGTCCTTTGTTAACTCCCAGCATATGGTGTTTTAGAAGAGATAGCTAAGAACAATGGGCTAAGTAGTGGAGTTTTCCTTCAATAAGAAATCCACATCTTAAGCAGAGCCATGAGGGAAACAGATCTGCACTGTTTAAAATCCAACTAGAATAGCTTCTTAAAGAGTTTTAACCATAAAATGCCTTAAAAAAAAAAAAAAAGGCATCTGGAAGATGTTAACTTGGTTTCTAATTGAAACAATGGTGTGTTTTATTTCATGTTGGGATTTCAACAGACTCTTAATTAGACTTTTTACTATGCAGTTTTGATTTAAAAATATCTTGATGACATTCTGGTCATCAAGAAGATCCTGGGAGACTTGACACCTGTTACTCCTTGGAAGAACATTCACCCAAAAAGGCAGGCAGGCAAATAATACTCCCCAACTCATAGAATAAATATTAAGTCAAAATATCCAGAGTGTTTAAAAGAATAATGAAAGGGGAAAAAAAAGTCTGGAAAATACTTTGTGTGGTCCAGACTTAGTGATGATAAGCAGACAGCAATGCTTAAAACAAAAGGCAAAAAACACAAGGGTTGCCTGCTATGTTGTGGAATACTAATAGAATATTTACAATGTGAATGTATAGCTGGCAAAGTCACTATTATGTCATTTCCTAAGGACATGAAAAAATTATGCTTACCTATTTTATTAAAAGTAGCTTAGATAGTTATTGAAAACAGCATTTGCAACAGTTTTCTACGTAGTAAGAAATTGGTATACAAGAGCAGACTTTATCATGTAGATTGAAACATACAATGAGAATACATCATTTTTTGAAACACTGAATAAGGAATTCTCATAAACAGCACTGCTATGATTCATCTTGATGTAACTTCTTGAAGTGGCATAAAATCAGTAAATGGACAGTATTAAAACCTGGAGTGAATTAAAGAAAGAATTCCATGTTCTACTGAACACCTTTAGACTGAATTTCAGATACTAGAATAGAATGGAATAGAACAGAACAGAACAGTTGGACGGGACCTACGATGATCATCTAGTCCAACTGCCTAACCAATTCAGGGCTGACCAAAAGTCAAAGTGTGTTATTAAGGGCATTGTCCAAACGCTTCTTAAAAACTGTCAGGCATGGGACATTGATTACCTCTCTAGGAAGCCTGTTCCAGTGTTTGACCACCTTCTTGGTAAAGAAATGTTTCCTAATATCAAGTCTGAACCTCCCCTGATGCAGCTTTGAACCATTCCCCATGCGTCCTGTCGCTGGATACCAGGGAGAACAGATCAGCACCTCCTTCACTTCCCTTCTCATACTGATCAAACTAAACTGAGTTTGACTCCTGGGCTTTATTGACATGGGCAGCATTAACTTTCAGTGCTGATTTTTAAATAAAAATAAAAAAGGATAAAGGTATAAAATAATAACATCATCAACAGAGCTTGAGATTCATGGCTAAATTAGAAAGATAAAGGGGAAACTATTTTGCTACGCTGCAGTAAATTATTTTCCTGACTTTTGGGAGAAAATAAAGCCCTCAAATTTTCTCTCTCTTATTAAGAGACAAATATTGTTTGCTGTGTTAGGTATACATAGAAATAAAACCATCAACTGCAATCTGGTCTGAGTTAGCTTCATCTTTTATGTGAAGAAGATCCATGAAGGCACATTTTGGGATTCTTTTATGGATCTAGGTGGGGGGGGCTTAAACTGTTATTGACCCAGAAATTTTCTGTCACATTTTAGCTGAAGTTTACTGTCCCAGAAGTGGAATTCTCATATGAACACTCCTAGGCTGTTTCAGTACAAAGTCAGTGGAGTCAGCTTAAAGCATCTTAAACCAAATTTGGATGACTTTACACTTACACAAACAACTTACATAGACACTTTTAGCTTCACAGCTGTGTCAACAGAAACTGCAAGAAATAACTTCTCAACTTCTATAACTATATGTAAAAGAAATGACCTGTATAGGTCTTCAGTCTCTCTTGGAATGAGGAAAATTAAAAAGGATGTTAGACAGGTTGTGGCAACATGGCTAGAAGCTCAGTCTCAGGACAAATCAATGTCTGTTAATAGGAATTCAAATTAGTGTCATCAGAAAGCAAAAAAAAAAACGAAAAATGAGGAGAACTTAGATGTCTCTGTTCTTGTTTTGGTCACCCTGAAAAGAAAGAAAGCCAATCCTAAACCCCCAAACCTATAAGACTTTTGCATTATTTTTCTCACCACACATAAAATCAGATGTGTTTTAAGCCAAATCTCTGGCAAAGCTCACAGAGTCCGTGTTCTTTATGGTATGGACTATTGTAGAAATATTGTTGCAAAAACTGTCATAGAAAATACAACCTGACCACAAGCAGATTCAGCCCTGGGAGAGAGCTTGTTGCCCCGTTGTATTCTATTGTATCTCAAATATTTTACCTAGAGCTGCCCTCTGAACGTGCCTCTGGGTTATCTCTCCTTTCAGATGGTCTGTGAAAGGCACAAAATGTGAATAGTTAGAATTCAAAATGTCAAAAATCAATGAAGTCATTGCTTATGTCCCATCATTTGAAAATCCTTCTGCTGCTGGCCAATTTAAGGGGATTTTTTGTGATCCACAGGACAAATAGTTTTCTGACCTCTCTCTTTCTCTCTACTGGAAGTAAACAAGTAGGCACAATTTGGCTCTACGTATCCTAAGATTTAACTTTGTCCAGTAAGAAAGACTGAAAATGAAGCTATTTACAAGCACTTTCACAGGATAATGATATCCTGCTGCTAGATACAAAAGAAGTCCAAGTGAGGCTAGAAGACATACAGAATTCTAAATTTTTGTTCAAACAGACTTATAGGTGCTAGCAGTGGAAATGAGATACTAGGTCATCCAGTCCACCTGTTTGCCAGTGAAGAATTGGTTCCCTACAGTCCATTTTTTCCTGTTTGTCCAGCTCATTTTTAAATATCACATTTGCTAAAGTTTCTGCAAGTTCTACTACTCAATAGAACTCATCATGTAGATGTTATTGGTCTTCAATCAAAATTTTTCTTTAATTTCATTATCTCCTTGTTCATAGTTAGGCTCCCATGCCCCATATAATTCACCTTTACCTTTCTTTTATTAATTTCCTCCTTGATCTATGACACTGTCCCAGTTCACCAATTATTTCAAACCATAGATTATCACATGGGAAGCCACTATTCATAGATATTAATGGAACCAATAAAGGAAAAACATAACCCTAAATGTGCAATTTCAGCAGTATATGTGTTCTGAGGGAGGGTGGGATGGAGGGATGCCTTTCAAGTTTTCAAATTAAAACAATTTCTAAGCAAAGACTTGTTCATAATCTTAACAAAACTGTACATCTGGATACCAGGGAAAGAAAAATAAAAACCCAATCCATGTTGGATTCACTTTTTTTCCCAGACCTGTGATTATGTATATTACATTAGCATGCATTCTGAATTAAAAATATCCTTTTGCTTACAAGTGAATACTTATAGAGTAAGCTAATCAGAGTAAATGAAAAGCTGCCAAATGCTTAACTGAAGGATGTGAAAACGCATTTAAATTCATAGGTCATGAGAATTATACTGTTTTATAAACACCAAAGAACCATGAAAAATTAAACTTTGGGACTTATGTGAATAAGTGTTAAGTATTCAGTAGCATTGTAGAAAAGGTATTATATGCAATATGTTGCAGTATAACAGCCAAGTTATGTTGTTTTGAATGTTTTTAGAAAACAAAACAAAACAAAACAAAACACCCTACCTACTCCTTATCTATAAAACAGATATTGCAGATTCCTATTTTTCTGCACAGAAAGTTTTATTCTTTTCAATTATTTGTATTTAAACCAATGCATTCTTCTGTACTTAAAGTTACCTGTAAATTTAAGAAAAGCCTTCAGCTGAGAAACAAGGTGAAATGAAAGAACTAACCTCACCTACCCCAGCTATACCAAACAAATCCTCCGTCTCAGCTGTACTAACACTCAACCAAAAAACCCGTTCAGTTAAGTAAGCTCCTGATTTCTGTAAGTATAGACAAAACCCCTTGATTAATGATTTTTACCAATAAAAGCCCAGTTAAATGATCAACGCTTATGTTATTTGTGCTCTGAAAACATTATAAAGCAACTCAGTTGATGTCAATACTCAGTGAAATGTGATTAAAGGTACTAGTTTTTTCCTCAAATTGTTTTTTTGCTATTCTGGGTATTTAGATCCTTGTATTCTATTGTACTGTATCACACAGGGTGATGTTACTCACTCAATATTGAGCCATGAGACAGTTATGAAACAATTTGTAGTAAGCTTGAGATTCTTCTCAATGGATTACCATTAACTTATGTGCCTCTGAAAGTCATCTATACATTTATCTTCATGTAAGAGTTCAGAAACTCCCTTTCTTAAGCACTGTGAGCTGCAAAAGGCAATGCCCCTATCATTTGAAAAAAATGGTTCTAGTAGTGAGAATAAGCTGTTCATCAAGAGCCAACTGAAAATAAAGGTGACATACGAGTTCTCAATCCTGTTAAAACATGGTTTTAGTAGCATTATTTCTCTTCCTTTAACCTTGCTAGAAACAGATCATCAGCAATCTACATGTTTTGTATTTCAAGTGCGAATGAGGTCAACCGAAAAAAAACAAGACAAGTCAATGAAAGTAAGATCGAACACATAGATAACAGCTTGCAATCAATACAAATATGTGGAAACACAAGAATATAGGGACTGGTTTTTAAATGATTATAGCCAAGAGGCTTGACTTTCAGTTACCTAGAATTTACTCTCAGTACAGCTGGGATAGAGACCACAGAGGCTGCAGAACCCTACTTTTATTGCAAGCTTTGTTAGGCCAGCCAGCAATGTGGAACTGTCCCAACTGCTCCTTCCTTCCTTCATTCTAGCCTTCGTACACTTCTGCTCCATCCATGACATGGACCATGATGTTGCAAGAAATCTTGTCCTTCTTCTGTTTGGCAGCTTTATGAAAGAAGGAGAAGTTGGAACCAGACCTAATCAGAGAGGAACCAAAGAAAACTTCTTCTTCAGCTAGAAAAATAAAAATCCAGTCTTATCATTCTTATAGCAAGAGAGTTTTATTTTTCTTCTATGAATAGAAATAGAAAGGTGACATTTATCCAATTTACATAGTCCAAACTGCCTTTTCAGGGCAGCAAAAACTGAACTACATTTCACAGAAAACTTCCTGAGGAGAAACTGTAATTGTATTATGGGAAAAGTAGCCTAAACAGGAATTCTGGTTCAGAGGACATGATGGTATCATGAGGCACCTGACTATAATTCCATACCAAGACCTAGCCAGATATGATTTAATCTTTCAATTTGTTTAAATCCAGTTTGAAATTTGACAGTTTATTTAGATTTCCTTTGGAAAAAAAACCCCTTGTTTTTATGTAGAAGCTCTTATTTTTGACAAAACCTTAACATTTTCTGTGCATGTTTTTGATTAAAGTAATCTTGTTCTGTTTTCACTACAAATACTTGTGGGGGAGAATGAATGTTTCTGACCTCTCTACTTTTCTGCCTCTGAGAACACCATCACCCAAATGCAAGGCTTGAAGTTTCTAAGTGACAGAAGTAGGGGATGATTCCAGTACTCTTGCCTGCACAGACCTTCCCATATAAACAAATGGAAGATTTGAGTCTTTAGTACTGCCAGTTCTACAACCTTCATAAACACAAATATTTACCCAAAGAAATATGAAGAATCACATTCTCATAAAAAAACCCCAATGTCTTCTGATTCCAACAGTGTAAAGTTGTGGACAAGGTAGTGCTTAAATGTGGTTTGCAAAAATTGAATTTAAGACTTGGAGAACATCTCTCAGCATATGGTTAATTAAGTTTTCTGAAATTTCACCAAACAAGAAGCTAAAAATAGGTCTGCAGCTGATACCAAATAATTTTTTCCAGTGGAGTCATTCTTCATTTGGAGATAACAGTCCCAATAAAATGTTGAATGCTGCAACTCCACATGTTTTGGCAAAAAAGTAGTTTTGGGGAATTTAAGAATTCACTCAGCGTGCAGCCAGCTGTCATTAAAGCTGTGATAAATCTGTTGGTTTTGGCCTGTGTTTCTGGACACATGTACCATCCTGAGGTATGGAAAAGAGATGAACTTCACAGAACTTCAGCTTTGTGACAGGAGACAAAAGCAAGGAGGGAAATGGAGAAGACAAAATGGAATAGAGAAATCTAATTAAGGCTGATGTAAAGCACAGGAAAGTAACCTATATGCTGACTAAATATGACAGAATCCGTAACTTGAATAATATGGCTGTCCTTTAACTTCTTGTCTTTGTGTTCTCCCAGACTGTTTCAAGGAGCTGAAATTATCTTCCAATTTATTGCAGACAATGAATGCTTTGACAATACTGCATATGCCTCAGGGCAACACAAAAATGAGTATGTTACAATTAAAAAAATATTGATTTTTAAAAGTAAGTGTTTTGATTTTGTTTGAGTCCACATTACAGGTTTTAAAGCTTCTCTTATGTTTTATCAGACCTTCCATATAATACTATTATAAGGTTTCAGAGACTGCTAACTTAAAGGATAAAATACTGGACAAGCTAAGAGAACACATACAACCTTAACTCCCTCCCTTTGAGAATATTTGTTTATTATTGAAGTGGATAGACCTTTAACTTGATGCAGGGTGTCTTCTGACTTAATAATTGACAGGCTGGAGCCTTCATCAATAACCTCTTATCTCTTGTTATCTTTTAATATTTTTCTATCATTTTACATTTTCCAAGCCTGTGTTTAGCTTAAGAAGTCCTTCCATCCAGGAGATCCTGAAACCTTCACACCTCAACTAGGTTGCTCTGTCTTTTTGTTTCTTCATCTTCAAATTCGTTTTGGTGTTACATAAAATGTCTAGCAGAATATCCTTTTATGCACCCAGGGAACTTCCGATTCCTAGAACTCACCCTCCACGGCATTTTGGGTCCCTAATAATGCTATATGGTCTAAGTGTTAGATCTGTCTTTTTTTCCTGCTTCTCACCACACCCCACCAGTGAGTAGGCTGGTGATGCATAAGCTGGATGGGACACAGCTGGGACAGGTGACCCCAACTGACCAAAGGGATATTCCAGACCATATGATGTCATGCTCAGCATAGAAACCTGGGGGAAGAAGAAGGAAGGGGGGACGTTCAGAGTGATGGTATTTGTCTTCCCAAGTCACCATTTTCCTGGGGATGGCTGAACATTGGCAGTTGATGGGAAGGAGTGAAGGAATTCCTTATTTTGCTTTGCCTGTGCATGCAGCTTTTGCTTTACCTATTAAACTGTCTTTGTATCAACCCACAAGTTCTCCACTTTTACCCTTCTGATTCTCTCCCTCATCCCACTGGGGAGGAATGAGCGAGTGGCTGTGTGGTGCTTAGTTGCTGGCTGGGGTTAAACCATGACAGGAAATATGTGGGGTTATTGTCTGCAAACACAATGCCCC